AGTTTCCCCCATAGGCTCTTCCAGAAATTACTGATGAACTTTGTATCACGATCTAAAGTGATGGATTGAGGAACACAATGTAAACGCATAATCACACTGAAATAAATATGGGCAATCTGGGCAGCCTCCATAGTCTTTTTGCAAGCTACAAAACGGGCCATCTTGGAAAACTAGTCAACCACAACAAAGATAGAATCGTAAGCCCAATACAAAATCCATGCTGACATCAAACCAAGGAGCTTCAGGAACAGGTAAGGGAGTGTACAAGTCCGCATTAGTGAGAACTCCCTTAGATCGCTGGCACACATAAAAACGGTCCACATAATGAGCCACATCACTAGTCAACTTAGGACAATAAAAGTCAGAAGATATAAGGGCCAAGGTTTTATCTCGGCAAAAGTGTCCCTCATTATGAAGTTCACTTATAATATGCTGCCTCAATGAACAATCTGGAATGCACAACTGTAATCCACGAAACAGATACCCATTATGCAAAACAAAATCATGACGGTGACCCTCAGTTACCTCCTGAAATATCCTTCCAAAGGAATGATCATCTGCATACATATCTATGAACGTCTCAAAGCCTGCAACTTTGGTACTCATGGTGGTGAGGAGTAAGGTACGACGACTAAGGGTATCTACGACGCGATTTAAATTCCCTGCTTGGTGCCTCAGCGCAAAAGTGAATTCTTACAGGTATGCCACCCACTTGGCATGATGTCTACTCAACTTGTGTTGGCCATTGATATACTTCAAGGCCTCATGATCGGTAAACAGAATAAACTCCTTCTGTACTAGGTAGTGACGCCAATGCTTCAGGGACTGAACTATGGCATAGAACTCCAAAGCATAAGTGGAATAATTTTTCTTTGATCCCGATAGTTTCTCACTGAAAAAAACAACTAGACGATCTGCCTGACTCAGAACACCACCAATGCCAACTCTAGATACATCACAATTTACCTCGAACACTTTTTTAAAATCATGAAGTGCCAAAACTGTTGCCTTGGTCATCTTCTGCTTGACCAGTTGAAAACTGGCCTCTGCCTCCTCCGACCACTGGAAATCACGCCCCTTGGGTACTCTGTGATAGGGGCAATCAGAGTACTGAAATTTCTAATGAACCGACGGTAGAAAGATGCCAATCCATGGAATCTTCGGATGTTATGTAAGGTCCTTGGTCTGGGCCACTCCAAGACTGCATCTATCTTTGACTGATCTGCATTAACACCATCAGTAGACACAACAAAACCTAGAAAAGTCACAGAAGTAGTGAAGAAAGAACACTTCTTCTGATTGACAAACAAGCACTTCTTTTTCATCATCTCAAAAACAGCACAGAGGTGATCGAAGTGTGAAGCCCATGTCAAACTATAAATGAGGATATCATCGAAGTAAACTACAATGAATTTCCCCATAAAAGGCTGCAAGACCCAATGCATAAATCTCATGAATGTACTGGGCGCATTGGATAACCCAAAAGGCATGACCATCCACTCATACAACCCTTGTGGCGTTTTAAACGCCGTCTTCCACTCATCTCCAGGCCTTATTCTGATTTGGTGGTATCCGCTTTTAAGGTCAATTTTTGAGAATACCTTAGAACCGGATAACTGATCTAACATATCATCTAGACGGGAAATTAGAAATCGGTACTTCACTATAATTCTGTTGATCGCTCGGCTGTGAACACACATACGCCAAGAACCATCTTTCTTTGGCACTAGCAGGGCAGGGACTGCACATGGGTTCATACTCTCTCGGATATAACCCCTATCCAACAGCTCTTCCACCTGTCGCTGTAACTCTTCAGCCTCCTTGGGACTAAGGCGATATGCTGGTCGATTTGGCAAACTTAACCCAAGAACAAGGTCAATTAGATGTTGAATATCCCTCATAGGCGATAGCCCAGGAGGAGGATCCTCTGGCATCAAGTTAGAGAATTCTGCTAGCAGCCGCTGTACCTTTACTGGTAAATCTGCATCCACATCTACTGCACTATTCTCGCAAGATAGTAAGGCATAGACCACACCTCCATGCTCAATCTCATCTAAAAACCTGGACATAGAAAGCAGGTTAGTATTATTGGTTACCGGGGTAGGAGTGAGTCATTCCCGCCGGGGTGCCAACACAATCTTTTTTCCCTTGATGCTAAGGGAATATGTATTCTTCCGTCTGTCATGAATGACACATCGATCATACTGCCAAGGTCGACCCAACAATATATGACACGTATCCATAGACACAACATCACACCATGCATTATCAAAATATTTTCTATCAATTGAAAAAGACACGAGGCATCACCTATCAACTGTTACCTCACTGCCTTTATTTAGCCATGACAACTTGTATGGCTTAAGATGACGGTCCGTCTTCAATTGCAATTTCTGGACAACCTCTTCGGATACTACATTCTCACAATTGTCGCTGTCAATAATCATTTTGCAAACTTTATCTCCAACTGTGCAGGTCGTGTGGAAAATATTGGTTCTCAACCAATCGTCCCCTGAATCACCCTTGGGAGTCAATAGACTCTTGCGAACGACTAGAGTCTCATGACCATCTCCATACAGCACATCATCAGTCTCATCATCATCATATATGGGCTCGCCAATCTCCTCAGTCTCGTCTTCCGCGTTTTCCTCAATCAACAAATTTTTGCCCTTTTGACTAGTAGGCTTCCTGCAATCAGTCGCCCTATGCCTTTGTTTACCACAACGAAAACATTTAATAGTAGGGTTAGAATTACCCTGCGGTTGCTGCTAAGAAGGACGGGAATCCTGAGAGCGAACTGGCCGACTGTTGTGATCGCTCTTAATCACTGGTCTCCTATTTTGCTATTTTTCAACAGCAAGTGCACGCTGGTAAGCTTCTGAAACACTCTACAACGAATGAAGGCTGAGGACATCTTGTAAGGGTTGGCGTAAACCCCCAAATACCGCGCCACCATATGCTCTTTCATCTCAGTTAAATCGTTCCGGGCGACCAATTAGTAAAACTTCTCCGTGTAATCATCGACTGATCGTACGCCCTGCCTCAACGCATGAAATCACTGAAACAAGGTTTATGTGTAGCCGAAGGAAAAGAAGTGACCCTTCATCTTCATCTTCATCTTCTCCCAATCAGTGATCTTGGCCTTGCCCTGCCTGTCTCGAAAACGTCGCAACTGCTGCCACCACGCAGATGCTCTACCCTTGAGTTTGATGGCGATCAGTTTCATTATCACACGATCGGGGACTTCCTTATAATAAAAAATACGCTCCACTTCATTAATCTAATCCATGAATCCCTCGGCCTGTAACGTACCAGAAAACTCAGTGAGATCGACCCAAAAATCGAGGTCTCCATGACGCTCCTCCCGATCACGGTGCTCCCGGAATAGAGCACGATTGTTATATGGGTTTTCGAAAGTGGAATTAGTATCGTGATCAGAGGCCTCACGATCCTCAAAATCCTGCGCCGCCAGGCGCTGGGTTAATTCTGTGACTTGCCTCTGAAAATCCGCAATCATCGCATCCTGAACGCTGCGATCACGGCGTTGGGCTTCCTCATTCGGAACCTGTTCACGACGGCCACGACCACGACCTCCAGCCATTGACACCAGGAAGATGTTGAAGCTCTAATGCTAACGGACGCCAGACAAGATAACGATTATCCTGTAGGCTGGTTCCAACAGATGATTCACAAGAGAAAATTCACCCAAAACCAGAGAAAACAAGTCTCTAGGGTTTAACGAAATATTATAAAATCAAACAATGCCAAAATCAGTCCACGAGTCGGACTGTTATAGCCAAAAAATCATGTTCATCTGAATTTTACCAAAAATAGCAAAATCTCGAAAATCACTCTAAATTGAAATTCGAAATAAAATAAACAATCTGAAAAAAATCCGGCCCAAATCGAATTTAATTTGACTTCCTAACTAACAAGTGAAATATTACCATAAATAGTAAAAAATAAATAAAACTAGTGATTCGGAGGAGAAAACGACAGAATTTGAGGTCGAAAAAAAGGCCACATGGAGCTATGCTCGATGTGGACAGCGTGCGCGTCGAAAGGGGCTTTTCGAATTGGGTCTTATGTGTGATTCCGACACCCGTAGCCAAAGTTATGGCCAAAAGACTGAAACGCACTCAAAACGGCCCCAATGAGGAACATATCATAATCAACTTCCGCCTTTGCGCTGATCTGCCAACTCATGGATCTCAGCGCCATCAAGGTGCAATCTGACAGCTCAGCATCATCTGTCTCGGATCCCCTGCATCAATTTATTTCTAATTATCTCGGACCCAATAGAAAAGATTGTGGGATACACAACTCTAACAAAACTATACTTAAAAGGTTGAAGCTTTCACAAGAAGATGTTCATATTGTTATAACTTTTAATTCATAAAATTAACACAATGACAGTTCCACTTCTCTTATCAACATACAAAAAGTTTCATTTTAATAAATACAAAAATAATAGGAAAAAATCAATGGAAAGAATATATTAATATATTTTAATTCAGTTTCAACAAATTAGTTGTAGATTTTTACAAATACTTTAATTTGTTTCAATTTATTCACTAAATCGGATTGGAAAATGACACATAAATACCCTTAATATTAGAAGAAGAAAAATTCACAAAACATCTTAATAAAATAATAATAATAATAAAAGAAGAAATAAAACAATAGTCAACTTCCCTTTGATCTTAGAAAACAGAATATAATTAACAAAAGTGAGCAGAAATAGAAGCTGCAAGCACGTTGAAGATGATTAAAATATACATGCATGACAAACAATATGAAATGAAGGAAGAAGCATTACACCCGAACCACTTCCAAATTGAGTTTGACTTACAGAACTTATCTTCGTGAGTGTCACGAAGGCAAAAGTTTGGTTTTTGATCCTTCTGCAAACTATATATAAAGGAAACATTACGTGTACATTTGTCAACAACAATTCTTCCAATTTGTCTTGGAATAAATCTCAAAGGGAAGAGTAAACCATGGCTTCTTTTGATTCATGGAGGTTCAAGTTCATTTCAATGGCACTTATAATGATCATCAGCGAATTTTCTGTTGCTGATCCATTACCAGTCGTGTTCCATCCAAGCCCTTGGTCCCTTGCCCATGCCACCTTTTACGGGGACAAAACCGCCTCCGAGACCATGGGTATGTTCTTCATATAAACACCTTCATCTAGCTAATCATCGTTTTAAAACCTTAGTAATGTTCATCGGGATAGACAAGGGATGAAGTGCATATTTTGATTTGTTTCCTTGACAGGAGGAGCTTGTGGTTATAGGGATTTGGTTAGCAATGGTTACGGTACCGACACGGCTGCTCTGAGTAACACATTGTTCAACGATGGCTTTGCTTGCGGAACATGTTACCAGATAAAGTGTGTTCAGTCACCTTGGTGCTACCCTGGTGTTTCATATACCACAGTGACTGCTACCAACCTTTGCCCTCCAAATTGGGGCGAAGACTCCAACAATGGTGGCTGGTGCAACCCTCCTAGAGCCCACTTCGACATGTCCAAGCCCGCTTTCATGAAAATCGCTCAATGGAAAGCCGGCATTGTCCCCGTCATGTACAGAAGGTGTGTAACATTCTCAAAATGACAGTCACGTAATAGATTAAAACTTCTAGATTGATCATGATCAACTTGTATGGATTCCGACACTTGCAGGGTTCCATGTGAAACACGAGGGGGGATTCGATTTTATTTCCAAGGAAATGGGTACTGGCTGTTGGTGTACGTGATGAACGTGGGAGGCGGCGGTGACATTGCCCAAATGTGGGTTAAAGGAAGCAAAACAGGGTGGATTACAATGAGCCATAACTGGGGAGCAACATACCAGGCATTTACAGCTCTTGGAGGACAATCACTTTCCTTTAAGCTCACTTCATACACTTCCAAGGAGACTATCATTGCCTGGAATGTCGCACCTCAAAATTGGAATGTAGGATCGACGTACACAACTGATGTCAATTTCCATTAATCTACTACTTCACAATAGTTTTTTTTTCTTTTTGGCAATGGCTTGGAGAATTATTATCTTCAATATTGTTTTGGCCTTTTTCTTCTCTTGTACTTTGGTTTTTTTGCTTTTCGTTATCCTTGGAGTTTGCTTTCTCTAGAAAGTCAAAATCCACAATAACATTTAATTGCTTGACCAAGATCTGGGTATGATTCATGAAATATGGGCAGTTTATCTATAGCTTCTTAAATGTTGGTGGTTTGCAGTTTGTCACACAATCAGAAAAAACATTGATTTTGGAATGATTATGATCTTCAAATTTTGATGCATATATGTGCTATTTATTTCACCAGTATATTGAGATAAAGAAATAAAAACTTTTCTTATTATATACCAATATCCGGTTAATATAATGGAATAAAATACTAAATTTTTTAAATAAAATTAAAAATTTGAATTTTAATAATTGTAAATACTAAATCCTAAAAATTAAAGTGCTAAAAAAATAGATGGGATGGCATATGGATAGCGAACAAGGAGACCCACGAATTGATTAAGTGTGGGGAACATGTTAGAAACACAGTTTGAGTAGTGAGGCCCCCCTAAAGAGGGTAATCTGCCCTCATTTCAATCACTCAGCACGCCACCTTCCTTTTTCATTGGAGGGGTCATCATCATCAACCCACCCCTTAAATCATTTCTCCCCCCCTACCCTGGCTCCTCAAAAGTTTCTTTCCCATGCCACAAAGCGAAAAAGGCAATTTTTAAATGTATATACCCAAATCACTCGGCTGCCAGTCTAAAAGTAGATTACTTAGTGGTGCCAGTTGTCGGACTAAAAGGGTTGATTTTATTGAAGGTTTTGGATTCGAACAATTGTATCTCCCATTGTTAGAAAAAAATGAGAAGAAGTGTCATTGTTATTGGATTGAACCATTGGAGAAACTTCAGATAAAATGCCTGTTGCCTTGCCCCCACATCATCCAAAAGAGTCAATGCTCTCAGATTCTACCATGGACACAATATATTGCAAAAGAAAACAACTTTTATTTCTCTGTTCCCACTATTACTTCCTTTTTCCTCTTCAATTCAAAGCCTCTATCAGCTCTAAACATCCCCAAACACTACAAAAACTGCATAGCCTGTCACATCCAGAAGAGATCCTCTCATGGGATTTGATCTCTTTTATCTCATGTTGTTAATACTTTCATGGGGATCATTGGTCTCAATGGAAGCTGAAGCCGAAGCCGAAGGGATCAAGTCAGCTCGCCTTCTCGATCTTCTCATCAGGGACTACACGGTGAAGTCTATTGACAGGGACCTGAGAACTGGCATTGTACACACTGTAAATTTACCGGAAAACTTCTCCGGCATCGAAGTCGATACGGTAAGGTTCAGATGTGGGAGTCTCCACAGATATGGTGCACAGGTTAAGGAATTTCACTTAGGAAGTGGTTTGATTGTTCAGCCTTGTGCAGAGAGAGTGATGGTAGTTAGACAAAACTTGGGTTATAATTGGTCATCCATATATTATGCTAACTATGATCTATCAGGTTACCAGCTGGTGTCACCTATATTAGGCCTCCTTGCTTATAATGCCGACAGTGATCTGAGTTTTGGTTGCCCTTTCGAGCTTGGGATTCTTGCCATGGAGAAACCTATTAAAATAGATTTCAGCAACGTTACAAAGGCATCCAACATCACACGATTCTTGCCATTTTGTGCTAGTTTTGAAGGAAATGGCAAAGTAACATTGAAGAACCAGGTATCACCGAACGTTTGTGTGGCAACCAGACATGGCCATTTTGGTTTGGTGGTGAAGTCACCGCCATCGACGTTGCCTGTGAGGAAGAAGATTAGCAAATGGAAACTGGTGGTGGGATGCTCTGTGGGAGCTGCTTTGGGGGCTTTCCTTTTGGGGTTGCTTTTAGTGGCAATGTTTGTTAAAGTAAAGAAGAAAGCAAGAATGGAGGAGTTGGCGAGGAGAGCATATGAAGAGGAGGCTCTTCAGGTTTCCATGGTTGGACATATAAGGGCTCGAACATCGCCTGCAACTTAACATGATCCCTTAAAAGGTAGCTATGCCTTCTTTTTCTTTTCTTTTTTCATGTATCATCATTTTTTTTGCAAGGTTAGCTCTATATGTCTTTGAAATAGAAACGATTCTTATGTTCACTATCTTGGAACAGAACAACTCTGTTTTGCAAGGATATGTTGATTCACTTAACTTCATTATTCTCTTTTCCATAACTTTCTGGATCAATGTCTAGGAAAATAACAACCCAACTGCTCTTTTTCTTACAATTAACAAAGGGCATTCTTTGTTCTCCATGATTCATAAGCACATATTTAACGGTGTTGAAGGCAATTGGCGGTTCATTCTTTCTTGTTTAAACGAAGAGTCACATCTGGTCAAAGGAAGACCATTAGTCGATATTTTTTATGAGAAAAAAATGATTATAAGAAAGAAGGAGATTGAATTTAGATTAATGAAGGCTCTATCCCTTCTCAGTCTTGACCGAAGGGTATTTATAACGATGGTGTCAGGCACAATATAATTATAGATTTTTAATAGTTATAAGTCATCAGATTTATGAGCCAAAACCATTGAAATTTATAAGCATGTTTAAGGGAGAAGAGAGTTGGTGGCCGCTTCTTTCTCAGGGCGTATGGACCACAGGTGGTTGGCTTCCACAGTACAAAACCAGAGTTTTCAGTCTGTAATAGATATAACCGACTTACATAACCATTAAGATACATAGTTATGCAACTCCAAGGAAGAAAAACAAAGTCAATTCTTTCTCCATGCAAAGAATGGCAATAGGTCTTATTTTTAAAATTAATTTAATACCTAATATCCATTAAAATTTCATTTAAACGTTGCATCATAACCTTATTTTTTTAAAAGATTATTACGATCACCAATTAAATTAAACTTCCAATTCAATATGACTTGAGACTTTTGTCAACTTAGTGTCTCATTTATTAACAATACTCCATTATTTTCAAGCTGGACCAGTCCCTTCACACTTTCAAGATTATTAGTTTTCTAATGCTTTTAGCCCTTTTCTAATAGTAATCATCATTGAGCCACTAGGGAACCATCACGACTCTACATAACCTCTAATTCTTACGAAAAAGAAGTGTTATACCAGTACTATACCCTTCACCGAATGCTAATGCTTCCGGAAATATTATTATAAGAGGTCAGAGATATAAGAGGGGAGGCTCAGGAGAGGATTCTGATCACCCTAGGATAGTTGGTGGTTTGTCGTGGAAGATGAGACCCGGTCTTTCGCTTTCTAAGGAACGGATACTTATAATGTCATGGATAAACGTTAATTAGGAACCGTCAATCCGTCATGTCTCTGATTCCGACTAAACACCATAGGAGTAGAAGATTCAGACTAGGAAGTCGCGAGCATCGACACAATGTTAAAATTGTGTTTGTCTTTCATAATTACATTTGCTGATGAATGAAAACACAAATGCATTGGTTTGATGACAAAGCCCATCATGGTTTTCAGAACTGGACCGGTTAGCGAACCGACCATGCTACCGGTTCACTGGTTCAACCGGTCGAACCGGTCCGACCGGTCGGAAGAATCGGACGACGTCATAATTATTATAAAATACCAAAAATATTTAATAAAAAATAATTTTTTATATCACAAGTTATATTCAAAGCAAGTCATAACATATATAAGTTAAAAACCATAAAATCAAGTGAAACAAAATGATTCAAATTAACTACAATATAATATTTAAGGTAAAACATATTAAATAATAAAAATAATTATATAACTATAATTAAAAAATAAATTTGGGGCTAAAAAATCATAACAAAATGATATTGTTTGGTTTAATTTTTTTTTAAAAGCAATCTCACATGGCTAAGAAACATAGAAGAGCATCCCAAAAGTCTAAAGAGTAAAAATATGAGAACAAAACAATCTCACATGGCTAAGAAACATAGAAAAACATCCCAACTAACTTCTATAAATAATAGAAGTAATTTGGCATTCAAAATCATGGAGTCTTTTGGTGAGCATTGAGTGAACTATTCTTTCACTTCAATCAAGCTTGAATTTTAGGCTTCAATTGAGCTTCTAATTTTTTTTTGAGTTCAAGCCTTTTCGAGTTCAAGTTTCAATATTATATTTCGAGTTCAAGTTGAACTTGATAATTTTTAGCTCGTGAGTTTGAGTCGAGTTGAGCTTACTTTTAAAGTTTTCAAGTTCGAGTCGAGCTCAGCAATACTCGAGTTCGACTTGGCTCGTTTAACAAACGACGTCGTTTGGTTTATTTTAAAAAAAAAATTGGCGGTTTTTTCACGTTTTCAGCCGGTCCGGTTCGAACGGTTCAGCGTTTCGACCGTTCACTAGTAGCGGTTCAACCGATGTAGATTAAATCAGACTAGACAACGGTTCCTGGTTGAACCGGCCGATTCGGTCCGGTTTTCAAAACACTAAAGCCCATTGAATTAAAAAAAAATTAGTATCTACAAATTTCTAAAAAAATTATGACATTGAATTAGGATCAAATTAATAAACGTGTAAGTAATATGAATCAAAATATGTAATTATATAATTTTTTGTTAACTGCCATGTCACTCCCTCCATTAAGTTTGAGAATAGGTAATTTGATTTATATCACTTAAATAATTATGTGATCATATTAACAAAATTAATAATATAGTTTTGATATCGACATCACCTCAATAAATAAGTGATCATTTGAGTAATTTATTCTAAAATTTAATAAATTTACTTTATTAATTTTTCAATATTATGTTAGTACCCGAATCCAGAAAGGTACACACAAAATATGAGGTTGATAAAAATATTTTGAAGCGTAGTCACCTCTAACCAAAGGAAGTGATGTAAGTAATGCTACCACCGACTGACTCGCATGTTATACACGTTTAGACGAATAGAGCAACTTCGCTTTCTGGGTTCTTGAAACAGCTGCATAGATCGTCTTTGAAATCATCCAGACCCACCATCTTTTGTTTTAAATGGAATGGGAATGGCTTTAAGAAATTAGACTCTGTCTTTTGTTTTTATTCACAAAACCAGTACAAATTACCATGAATGGTCGGTCACCAATCACTGATATGTGTAATTAAATGCCAATTCATTCGATGTTTTCCAGACTTGGTAGAGGCTGAGGCCACCCATGTTTTTCATTCTGCCGGGGAACCTCTTGTGGCCATGTGATGGAGCTCATCGGTGGAAAGCAACACTCACAATCGTCCTGGCATGGCTGAACCAATTCCCAGTTGCTTCCCAATCTATCTTCTGTCCCAGCTTCCACCAGCGGGCCCCAGCACTCTACTTTGTTGAATTCTGGAATGTTGGAGTGAAAATAAACCCACACCAATGCCTCCTGCAATTCCGGAAAGTTTTTCAACAAATTCCCATCTCCATGAACAAACGCCTTCAGTACCACGGGTAGTTCTTTGTAGAAGATTAAGTATCGAAGTCTAGCACACCAGTCTAAGAGGAAATGGCCTCCGCTTATGTGACAATGGACGTGCAAAGACATCTTTCCCTTCACTTTCTTCCATTCCGCCACCACTTCATCTCTGTAAAATTTGTTGCTCCATCCCTGCAACTGCAATAAGAGAGAAACCAATTTATAAAATTCGGTTTTATAACCCAATTCATTAATCTTTGATAAAATTATTATCTATACAAATACCCAGTTTTTCTTTTCAATGAAAAAACAATTTAATCAATTGGGTAATGAAATAAAATGATTTACCTGAGAGTTGTTAATTGTCTGTGAGATTGCTAAGGTAAGTTTTGATGTTAAATCACTATGTGTAAGTGTGTAAGTTCTGGGGAGCTTCCCTGGGTGCTTTTTCTCATCAACTCCTAAAAACAAAACCTTGAGCTTTGATGCCTCGAATATAGCTGGACCAAACAACCTTGCTACCTGATTCAACCCATCAGATAAATATATAATCTTCCAGATTCCAGAAAAAAAGAAGAAGAAAAAGAAGTAGAAAGAAAAGATTACAGGAAAGATAGGCAGGTTCTTCTTAGACTTCTTCTGTAAATAAAAAGAGATTTGTTTTGTTCATACACGGAAGGTCTTGGCCTTGTAGAGATACTTGGAGCAAATATCAAAGTTACCATACTTGGTCTGAAAAAGCTCCAATTTTGATGGAGAGAAGAAGAAGAAGAAGAAGCACCCAAACAAAGAAATACTATTAGCCAAAATAATGAAACAATATAAAAGAAACAGCAGAAACTTTGGCACCTTTCGTTTCCCTTCAGCTTTTGCTTGTACGCTGATGCAACTTGAAATCTTTGAAGATATTGTTAGGTACTGTTAATTGGAATTTGGAATTGCGTTTGGGGTCAGCTAATTAATTTCACTTTGGGATTTGGACATTAAGGCCATATTTTATAAATTGTTTTTTTAAATTTTTATATAACATATTATCTTATAAGGATTGAATTTATATTTTAAATTTATTTGATATATTTAATAAAATTAAATACATAATATAATTACATTTTTATAATTTAAACATTGAATAGAATTCTATTTTTTATTTCAAGATAAAAATATATACAATTAAAGCCTTATTAGTTAAAAGGAGTGTTATTTGTTTTGAGGTTAGATTTCAAGCATCTACGTTCGCAGGATATACGTAGGTTGTCAATAGTTAAGAAAAAATTATTAACAGATATTAACTTGTATGACAAAATGAGAATAGATTAACATAATCAGAGATGATAATGACTCGGGTTTAATTGGATTTTTAATTAATCAAACTCAATCTTAAAAAAATATATCTTTTACTTAACCGATCCAAAAAATATATATATTTTTTCTTTCTAAGCTCGATTCAGCTCTGTTTTTCTCAATTAGTTAATTTAATTTAAAATATTTATAAAATCGATTTAATGTTTTTTAATTTTTAAACTGAATTCATTTATAACACATTTATTGAATTTATTTTAACCAACTTTTTTTGGATTTGTCAAAATGACCAACTAAATCGCAATGCGATCGATAATTCGAAACGCGATCTCCGGTATCGCAAATCGATTTCCAGATTCGCAACGCGAACTTCGACTATCGCATTGCTATTTACATATTCGCATTGAGATATCGAAGTTCGCGTTGCGATTTATTCCAAGTTCGTTGCGATAGTCGAAGTTCGCAACGACGGTATTACATTTGTTTCTTAAGAATTTTCTCTAAAAAGATAGTATTCGCGCGGACGTGTCGAAGACACGTATTACCACGACCCCGACCACGACCCGAGACGAGACGGCGGCGGCGGCGGCGCGCGAGAGTCCCCCTTGTTCTCTATCACTCAACAAGGAAGTGGGAAAGCCAAGCCTTAAATACCATTCCCAATAGTGTTTCCAATACTATGTGGGATTGAGCATTACCAACACTTGTTCCCAATACTATGTGGGATTGAGCCTTAAATAGTGATATTATTTTTTAATGTTTTGCTTAAAATTGCAATAATCGCGATTGATTGTAGATTGACTTTTAATTATGACATATTTAATCGTATAATACTAATGCAATTGGTTGCTGATTCAGTTATTTTAAGGTGCATGATTGTTAATTGTTTCCTGAATAATCACATTGTATTGGAAACAAGTGTTGGTAATGCTCAATCCCACATAGTATTGGAAACACTATTGGGAATGGTATTTAAGGTGTTGAGTTAATCGATCGACGGAATCGGCCAAGAGGGGGGTGAATTGGCAATTAAAAATTTTGTGGAAGCTTTTGCAGAAAAATTGAAAGTAATTGCACAGCGATTTACAGTGGTTCGACTTTCTCAAACAAAGTCTACGTCCACTACCTTAGCTATCCACACTAAGGATTTTCCAACAAATTCACTAATTTGTTCTTTCTTTTGAGGCCAAAGAGATAACCTTACAAAATCCCTCAAGAGTATACCCCAACTCTTGAGAACACTCTTTTTCCCAAAGAGAAGATTACAAATTTGCAAACTTACAAGAAAACCTCACAAGGTAAGATGTTTGCACAATTCTAGAACAAGAAAATAACACTCAAAGATAATTACAAATGAGCACAAATGGTGTTCTTGAAAGCAAAATGAATATTGAAAGGAAAATTGGCTTGATTTGCACAAACTTGGTGTTTGATGCTTTCTCTCTTGTTTCTCTATGGTTTCTTGTTGATCAAGGGCTTCAGAACTTGTTTAAATACACATTGAATCTCTTCTGAACGTTGGGGATGATTAGTGAAGATCATATAGCCGTTTTAGTGTGAAAACAATTAATAAAATAGTTTAGAGCGTGGGGGGAATCGGTACCCCGTATGGGGAATCGGTTCCCTAAGTGTAAAATTCAAATATTTCTACCGTTGAACAGGGGAATCGGTACCCCCTATGGGGGAATCGGTTCCCTCCGAGCATTCTGGAAATCTCGGAGCCAAACCATTCAGGGGGGAATCGGTACCCCCTTGGGGGGGAATCGGTTCCCTCTGAGCAATCTGGAATTTTTGGCTTTGAAATGGTTCGAAATACTTTGAAAGATTATTTTGAAATTGTTTTAAGATTAAAACTTAATTTTACACTTTAGTAAGGATTAAAAATGATTTTTGAAATATTTTGAGTGATGTTTTGATATTCGAATAATTATATCGAATATACTTTAGAAAATCATTTTGGAAAATCTTAAAATTCATTTAACTTAATTTGTTATATCGAAATATCAAAATGTTTTCAACATAAGGCTTGGCTTTCCCACTTCCTTGATGAGTGATAGAGAACAAGGGAGACTCTTGCGCGCCGCCGCCGTCCGTCTTGGGTCGGGTCGGGTCGTGGTCGTGGTAATACGTGTCTTCGACACGTCCACGCGAATACTATCTTTTTAGAGAAAATTCTTAAAAAACAACGCGAACTTCGACTATCGCAATGCGAACTTGGACTATCGCAATGTGAATATGTAAATCGCAATGCGATAGTCGAAGGTCGCGTTGCGATAGTCGAATTTGGAAAATCGCAACGCGAACTTCGACTATTGCAATGCGAACTTGGACTATCGCAATGCGAATATGTAAATCGCAATGCGATAGTCGAAGTTCGCGTTGCGAATCTGGAAACTGATTTGCGATATCGGAGATCGCGTTGCGAATTATCGATCGCATTGCGATTTAGTTGGTCATTTTGACAAATCCAAAAAAAGTTAATTAAAATCGTATATTATAAGATATTTTTGGTCATGAGTTATTTTCTCATAAATAAATAAAATACACCTAATTGCTTAAAGCATATAGCAAAATGATAATGGAATATTTTTGAGTAAGTTGCGGTTTAAATAAATGAACAAAGAGAGAGGGTAATCACTCCAACGCATCCGTTACCACGGTAGCCACAGTACACCCATTTTTACATCAAGAGCTTGACGGAAATTATGAACTTCTTATCAACAAAGGTAAATCTAACGATCAATATTATACATCCATATTTGTTGGAATGGAATTTTTATACAGGAAGATTTCATACTTGTTTAAATAGTTTAACTTTCCGTTTTTTTTTTATTTAAAAGAAGAAAGAAAGCCGGGTTCTTACAACAGACTCATGCTTAGTTTATCATTATCTAAAAGACTTAAGAGAGCAGCAGGTGGTTCTACCATTTTCGTGGCTGAGAGTAGCGGTGTAAACCAGCCGAGTCAAGGTTGAGTATTGCTGAATTTGATTTATCTCGAAAATTTTGAAATAGAGTTCGACTCAAAAATTCGCGAGTTTAATATTTTTAAGTTCGACTCGAATTCGAAATCCTGAACTGAAGCTCGTGAGCAGCTCAAAATGAAAAAAAAATCTTAAACTTAACTCGATTGAAGCCTCAAACTCAAACCTGAACCTTAAATACATGAAATTTTACTGTATTTTTTAAAAAAAATCAATACATAAATATTAATATTATTAATAATTTATTTTAAAAAAATAAAATCTTAATATATTATATTTTCGAACTGTTCACGAGTTTTTCAAATCGAATATCAAGTGGCACATTTCGGTTCGTTAAGAACTCGAGCTCGAGTTGAATCCATTCGATCTTAGTATTTATCGAGTCTTGATCGAGTCGATCTCGAATAGCTCGCGATCTGTCTCGTCTCATTTACATCCCTTGCTGAGAGGATTGGCAAGTTTAGCTATGGCATCCGCTGGAACGTTGCCTTGACGAGGTGTCCAATGAATGACCGTTACGAACTTGTAGCAGCATTAGGATGTTCCAATAGTTTGACAGCTTCAAGGGAGTCAGTATAAACTATCAGCTATCGAACCCGTGATCCCAAACAATCTGAATACCAATGAAGATCGCCCAAAGTTCCGCTTGGAGGGGTTGTGTGATTCCAATCGTCTTGTTAAAACCTAAAACCCATGCACCCTCGTGGTCGCGAAAGACGCCTCCAACAACTCCAGAACCAGTATGAATAGACACGGCACCATCAACATTCAAACTTATCCAGCCCGGGTTTGGAGCTTTCCAATGCTCTAGAACGTGAACGCTGGTGGCAGAAAGGGTAGACTGGGATTTACTCTCGACATAATATCTAGTCCAAATGATGCTTCTGCAATGAACAACACAAGCTAAATGAGAAGTGTTATTGAAGACTTTATCATTGCTATTTTTCCATAGTTGCCAAAGGGTCGACACGAAAAGGCAATGCCAAGGAAGCTGCCACTGCGTGCCAATAAGATTAGAATTATGATTAGCCATGATACAATCCTGCGGATTAGTTTGATAAAAATCAGCAGAGATGAGGGAAGGATCCATAAGCGACCACACTTCTTTGGCAACACTACAATCACGCAACACATGCAACGTCGGTTCTTGATGGCTATGGCAAACCGAACAAAAAGGGTCATGGCCGTTTAGTATCCCAGTTAGCCTCAGCTAGCTTTGTATAAGCAGTTTTAAGATTGAAAACGTGTTTATTGCTATCAAGCCAATAGAGACGATCGTCCATGTCCGTTCGATCGGGACTTTTAATGCTGATGATATGATTGTCAGCCTTATTAGAAAAAATAGAGAGAAGTTTCCGAATATTCCACTGCCCAGCATGATCGACAAGATTCGAGAAGCGAAGATTATGGAAGGCATGGTCCGGATCCCGAATGTGCTTCCTTAAATGACCAAGGGATGGGATCCAAACATCGTCCAGGGGCTGGACAATATTGCCATTGCCAATGGACCACGCAATGTTATCTTTAAGGTCATCCCAAGAGTTTGAAATTGATCTCCACAAAGGGGTGCAATTGTTTCTATAAACAGAAGCGGGACAAAGTGTTGCGGAAGACGGCTATCGGATAGAGCAAAATCACAACTGATAATTTGAGAAAATAAAAATGAAGATAAAAGAGACACAAAATTTACGTGGAAAACCCCTAAATAATATAGGGTAAAAACCACGGGCAACGGTAAAGAATTTCACTATGAGAAAATAAGAATTACAACTTCTCTCGATCTACCAAGGAGAAAACAATGATAATTCTCTCTTGATAAAAAGGAGAAAACAACTCTCAAGAAACTCTCTAAATTCTCTCTAGTATTGGAAGAAAGCTAGAATGGCTTTGGGATGATTTTCAAGCTAAATGAGCTAGGGTATTTATAGTTGAAGCTTAAGGACTAATTTGTAAATATCCTAAATTACAATGACTAGAATTGACATTTACCCATTACATATTTTCAATAAAATCTGCACCGAATTTGACTTAACAAATGCGGTGCCCCTTTTTCTGACTTTTCAACAATCTCCCACTTGAAGATTTGATTGGAACAATCATATCTTCACACCACTCTTTCTACCTTGTACCATCATGTTGCTTACGTCTCTGACAGGCCACAAGAGGATCGACACCAGGTAAATTTATCAGCATTGATTGCATTCGTCGTGAAATCTACTATGTTGTCTTTGGTATGGATCTTCTGCATATCTACCGTCCTTTCTTCCACCTTTTCATGAATGAAATGGTACTGAACTCTTATGTGCTTTGTCCTTGAATAAAATGATGGATTCCTTGCTAGATGCAAGGCGCTTTGACTGTTACAAAACATAGAGACATACTCTTGATTGTGCCCAAGCTCCTCCAATAGCATCTTCAACCAAATTGCTTCTTTACTGGCTTGTGTAGCTGCTACATATTCTGCCTCTGTTGTGGATGTAGCCACAACTGACTGCAATTTTGAAACCCAGCTTACAGCTCCACCAGCAACTTTGAACACATATCCTGTAGTAGATTTGCTTTTATCCAAATCCCCTGCATAGTCAGAATCTACATACCCATTTATTAGTAAGTTTGATCTCCGTAACATAATACAACATTTGAGGTTCTTTTGATATATCTCAGGATCCTCTTTATTGTATTTGGATTCGCCATGTATCGACTAACCACTCCCACTGCTTGTGCAATGTCTGGTCTTGTGCATATCATAGCGAACATTAAACTTCCCACTGCTGATGCATACGGTACTCGAGACATCTCAATCATCTCTTCTTCACTGCTAGGACTCATACTGGAAGATAATTTGAAGTTAATAGGAAGAGGGGTAGAAATTGGCTTACAATCTTGCATGTTGAATCGTGACAAGATATTCTTCAAGTAATTCTTTTGTGAAAGCCAAATCTTCCTATTACTTCTGTCTCGGTGAATTTGCATCCCTAGAATCTTGTTTGTTGATCCAAGTCCTTCATTTCAAATTACCAAGTCACTTGTGCCTTCAATTCTTCAATATGATCTTTGTTGGGTCCTGCAACCAACATGTCATCCACATACAACAGCAATATAACAAAATCGTTATCACTAGACCTCTTGAAATAAGCACAAGGGTCTGCATTAAGTCTGTTATATCCAAGGCACATAATGAAGGAATCAAATCTCTTATACCAACACCTCGGCGCCCGCTTTAGACCGTATAGAGATTTGTTCAATCTGCAAACCAAGTTCTTCTTTTCTTTTTCTTCAAAACCTTCAGGCTGGAGCATATAAATTTCTTCTTCAAGATTTCCATGAAGAAAAGCTGTTTTAACATCTAGCTACTCTAGATGTAAGTCCAATATAGCACACATTGCCAAAACTACTCGAACTGTTATTAGTAGAACCACATGAGAAAATATTTCATTGAAATCAATACCTTCTTTTTGAGCATATCCTTTGACCACCAGTGTAACATCCTCAATATCGGGTTAGTGATTAAATGGTAAAATTTTAGAATTTGGGGATAAAAGTAGGATAGTTGAAAGTTAAATGATTTAGATATGAATAATTCCTTATTGGATTAGATGAAGGGTATAATGGTAATTTCACAAGAAAGATTTTTTTCTTTCTCCTTTATATAGGATATAACACGTGGAAATGAAGGGAGCAAGGTTCCAGTTTCCATAGTTCTCTTCTTCTCCTTTCTTCTTCACGTGTGGAAGCCAAGAGCAAAGGTGAGATTTCTTATTAGTTGGTTTGTAGTTGAAATTAAGCTTGGCTTTTAATCATAAGATGATACTTAAGCTTAAGGAAAACTTAAGTTATCTTAAAACTATAAGATGAAAAAGATAATATGGATCAAAGATTGGAGTTTTTAAGTGAAATTTTGAATAAGAAGGTTTAAATGAATTTAGAGGATGAATTTGACTTGTCATCTATGAGAATGAGAAGCTAGAAGTGTTAGAATTAAGTTTGAGTAACATGGAAAATTTGGTGTGATTATTAATTTCTATATGGAGAATAAATTTTTTAGGTTTAAGATGAAATAAATGGGTATAAATTAGTTTAAGTATGTATATATGAGTTAAGAATATTAAAGGAAGTGAAATCGGAAGTGTGGAGCTGAAAATGAAGTGATTTTCGAGCTTAAAACATGATTTCTGGGCTAGGGGAATCATTACCCATTTAATGGGAATCGGTACCCATTCAATGGGAATCGATACCCCCTCAACCGAACCAGAAATTCCAGAATGTCATAGGGGAACCGATTCCCCCACAGTAGGGAATCGATTCCCCCTCTAAAGGAAAGTTGTGAATATTGGTTTAATAGGTTCGTTTAAGTTGCTAATATCCAATTACAAGCTGTAGTATCTAATAATTGCCTTAAAATGTACATTTATGTAGATTCTAAGCGTAAAGCAATTCCGGAATATTTGGCAAGTAAGATCGATCAAGGAAAAGATAAGAGATCGGTATTGACTAGTGAGGCCAGGTGAGTGCATATTATTATAATATACGTATTGTATATGGAAATTGGACTTGCGACAAGTCTGTTTCCAATATGATTATCGGAGTAGAAGTATGATTATGTTTGATATTGTGTGAATATGTTTTGTTCGTATTATATGTTATGTGGTATGAATTTATATGATATGTGTTATATGACAATGATTTATGTATTATAGGAAAATTGTTATATGAGCTATATGAACATGGGATATAAGTTATAGGATCACAAATTATGTAAAGTAACCACGACTTATGTGTTAACAAGAGAAAGTGACATAAAATATGGAACAAGATATAAATTACATGATTTAGATATAAGGGAATTGGTGGAATCAACTTAAGGGATTAAATAAAATGTGAGATAAGTTAAATAACATTGACCTATAGAACAATATGAGATTAATAGATATATATATATTAGGAG